CTCTCTCTTCTCTCTCTCTCTCTCTCTCTCTCATAAATATATATATATATATATATATATATATATATGTATTATATATATATATGTGTGTGTGTGTGTGTTGTGTTGTGTGTGTGTGTGTGTGTGTGTGTGTGTGTGTGTGTTGTGTGTGTGTTTATGTGTATGTATGTATGTATGTATGTATGTATGTATGTACACACATCATATTATTCATGTATGTGTTCATTCACATAGAAAGAGAAGGAGAGGGATAGGCAGGCAGGCTGGCAGATATTCTTTCGTTCTTTTATTTTTTGTTTCATCTCTTCCTTTCGTCTGTTTCTTTTTCGTTCATCTCTTTCTTTCGTCTCTGTTTCTCGTTCGTTCATCTATTTCTTTCGTCTGTTTCTTTTTCGTTCATCTCGTATATATTTCCCCTCTTTTCCCCTCGGCTTGTCTCTCCTCTAGCACTCGAGGGAGATGGTTCTCGAAGTGCCTTCTTCTGTTCTCCCATTTGTCTTCTGCTTTGTGCTGATTCCTCTTTGTTTTTTTTTCTTCCTCTTTTTTTGCATTTCCGAAACTCCATTTTATTTTGTCTTAAGAATCTGGCTTTTCGAACATTGCTTTCTTGGTCTCTCTCTCTCTCTCTCTCTCTCTCTCTCTCTCTCTCTCTCTCTCTCTCTCTCTCTCTCTCCTCTCTCTCTCTCTCTCTCTCTCTCTCTCCTCTCTCTCTCTCTCTCTTTTTCTTTCTTCTTTTGCCTCGTCTTTTCTCAGTCCAATGTACCATTATTCCTTTGTCCTCGCCTTTCACGTTTCGTTTCTCTTGCTTTGGACTATTTCCCTCGATTAGGCCTACGTCCGTTTTTTTTTCTCGGTAACATATTGTGTCTTTTATTTCTGTTGTTGCTGTCTTTTGCTCCTAAAATCTCGTGCCTTTGTATTTTTTTTTTTGCTTAACCCGTTTCTCCCTCTTCGGTGAATACTCATTGATAGGCCTACTGTCTCTGTTGGCGCTGAGGAATCGTTATGCATTTCCTGGGTACAGATTATTCACCGTTATGTCTGATCAGTCGGTTATCATGCACGTTGATTCGCACTAAGATAGTGTTAATCCTCTGAAGAGCTTCCATTCCCCTCTTCCAATACCCTCCTCTACCCCTCCCTTCCTTTTGAAGTCCCCTCTCCTCCTCCTTTCCTTCTCCCTTCCTACCAAGCTCCCCCCCCTCCCTTCCAAGGATCCCCCTCGCTCTCTCCCTTCCCCTTCTCCCCTCTTTCTCTTCCAGGATCTCTCCCCTCCCTCCTTCCCCGTTCTCCCCTTCCTCCCTTCCCCTTCTCCTCTCTTCCTCTCCCCTCTCCCCTCTCTTCCTTCCAAGATCCCCCTCCCCTCTCCCTTCCGGTCTCCATCTCCCACTCCTCCTTCCCATCTCCCATCTCCCCTCTGCCGTACCTTCACGCAAGATCCCCAGTCGCGGGCTACCGCTCGCCTCCCACTCTCTTCCTCCAAGAACCCCCTCCCATCTCTCCCCTTCCCATTCTCCTCTCTCTTTCCTTCCAAAATCTCCCGCCCCTCCCTCCCTTCCCCTTCTCCCCTCCTTCCTCCCCTTCTCCCCTTCCTTCCCTCCCCTTCTCCCCCTCCTCCCTTCCCCTTCTCCCCTCTCCCCTCTCCTCTTCCTCCTTCCAAGACCCCCCCTCCTCCCCCCGTTGGGTCCGCTGGTGTCATTCTCGTCTCGCCCGATCCCCTGGGAAGACCCGCACACACAGGTGCTTTTACAACCTTCACCTCTTGTTTTATCTCCTCCTTGGGAACGTCTCCCTTGCCTTCCCCCCTCCCCCCCTCCCCCTCTTGTTGTTGCTGCTGTTTCTCCTCATCCGTCTCGTCTTCTTTCGTATTGCTGTTGTTGTTGTTGTTGCTGGTTGGTATTGTTTAGGTATGGTTGTTTTTGTTGTCTTTTTTTTCATCTTTTTCTTCCCGTCCTCCCTCTTCTTTTTCTTTTTTCTTTCCACTCATCTCCTCGATGATGATGATGATGAATGACGATTGACGAGACGATGACGATGACGACGACGACGACGACGACGACGACATCAAAAATAATAATCTCTTCTCCCTCTTTTGTCTTTTCCTTCATCTGCGCGTCCTCTTATTTTCCTTTCCCTTCTCACGTCCCTTTTTTACTTCCTCCCTTCCTCCCAGCCTATGCTCTCTCAACCAAATATTGGCACCGCCGGTCCCTCCCCTCCTCCCTCCTACCCCCCTGCTCCTGTTAATGTCAAGCCTCCCCCTCACCCAGCCCTCCCTCACCCCTCCCGTCCCTCCCTCTCCCCTCCCCTTTCCTCCTCTCCCCTCCCCCCTCCCCTTTCCTCCCTCTCCCTCCCCTTTCCTCCCCCTGTCTTTCTCTCTCCTCCCTTGAACCTGAGACGTATTGGCGTTCCCAACACGAGACCGCGTTACAGGGAGGTGGTTGTCTTAGGGAGAGAGATGTGGTGTTGGTGGTGGGGAGGTTGGGGAGCTGAAGGGAAG